TAGAATATTCTAAAGAATATATATTAAAAATATAGATTATTATCTTTATTTTAATATAAAAATAAAAAATATTTAATAAAATAACAAATTTTAATATAAAGCAATAATATTAATTTTATTATATTTTTTAATATAGTGTAGATGTATGTATTATAAAATTATACATTTTTTTAATTATATCATATATTAATTATTAATTATTATATAATATTTTTCTATTTTTATATTTTTTTATATTTTGCATTATTTTTATTATTATTTTTTTACTTTATATTATTAACTTATTTTTTATTATCTATTTTTTTATTTATTTATTTATCTGATTTTTTATCTTTTTGCTTATATATTTTTTTATTTATTTATTTTGATAAATTTGATATTATATTATAAATAAAACTATTTAATTAATTTAATAATAGTTCTTTATTATATTATAAAAATTAATTGAAATATATAAAAATTTAAATATATATTATAAATAACAATTAATATTTTAATTAAATTTATAGTATTATATTAAATTTGAGCAAATATTTAAGAATAAATATAAATTAGATATATTATAAAAAAACTTAAAAAAATTTGTTTTCAATATATTAAATTATATATCTATAAATTTTATATATTTTCAAGTAATTTTTATAATATAAAGATAATGAATAATATATTTTTCTTAGTATCTATGATAAGTATTATAAAATATAAAGATTCATAAAAAAACACTAAAATATTATAAATTAATTAAAGAAATAGTTTAAAAAAATTATATTTCAATAAAAATAAAAAGAAAATATTTAATTTTTATATTATATTATAATAATATAGTAATAGATTTTAACAAATATTTTGACTAGATTATTTATCTTATTAAATAATATTTAGTTATTTTTTATTGAATAATTATTTTATAATTTATTATTAGTTCTTTATTTGTGTTAATATTTATAATTAAGATTTACAAATTAACAAAGTTAATAATGTAATTAATATTACATTATAATTAATTTATAAATATTTCATATATTTTAGCTTGAAGTTAATAGATTTTTCAAAATATCTCAAGTTATATATTATATTGGTTAGTATTATATAACAAAATCTTGTTTTATTAATAAATTATTTGTAATTCACTTTTAATTAAAATCACTTAATAGACTTATTATTTTACATTATAATTTATTGAAATTATAAAAAATTATTGAAGTTAGGATCGTAATATATATTATTAAATATAATTTTACTATAGAGCCCATCCCTCTTCCTCCAGGTAATATATTTGAAGCATGTGACTTTATATATTGCATATAAAATAAGACACTGTTAGATCCTCTCTTCCCCTAAGGATATTATGTAATATATGTTATAGCCCTTACCAGTCTCTTTATTAAATTTTTATTAGTTTCAAGAGCCCACCCAACCGTTACAAGAAATTCGTTTTAGCACATTCAAGGAGTGATCTTCACTTCTACTTAAATTCACGCCGATTTAGCATTTCATCATACAAAATGACAATCAATTCATTTTTTTCTCTTCAGGATCAACTACTCGAAGCTTTCGCTCTATTTTCTTTTAGCTCTAGACATGTCCAGTATCCTCTTTACCTAAGAAATAAGCATTTGCTATTGCTACAACAGCTGTAGAATGCAAACACATGCTTGCCATTGGAGACAATCCTTCTATCCTGATTTCTTTTCTGACTATATTTATCCCTCCTGAGAAGATCCTATCAGAGAAGCCCTTATAGATCTTTCTGCTTTAAGTGGTGAGAAGGAGAAAAAAGAAAAGCAGACTTTATAAACTTGGATGTGATCTCTCGAAGAGGATATCATTACATTATTAAAATGCAAGCCCACTGTCACACTGAGTTTATTTGTGTAATACCTTTGGTTGGCAGTTATTGGCGAATGAAGAGGAATAGGACAGTTGGTATCGTTACTTAAAACCTGTGATTACTCCTCAATCTTAGATCATAAACAGATTCAAGGAATAGTCGATCCATCCAGAATTCAGGATATCTTGGCCGCAAGTTAAAATCCGCCCCCATACACCCTAAATAATTTATCAAGCACTACAAATTATATGATTAATATTCTGAACAAAGTATTAATTACCTGTGTGAAAAAGCAACTTTTTTCTCCGCAAAAAAACTTCACCAGGCAGGATTGGTGGCCGAGTGTGCTGCGAAACTCGGATCAATATACACATGAACAACTCGAAAAATTAAAAAACAGGGCTTTGAGATTCCTTCCCATCTGGACAATATTTAAACTGGGTTGGAGAAATGAAAAACTGGTTTAATCCACGAACAAGTGACAGACAAAAAAGTTATTCAAAATGATGAAAAAGAATAGCAGAAGGATAGCAGGAGAAAGATCTGCTCAAGTGAGATTGCTCGTGTTCTTTTAAAAAAAGACATTGCTTTGGAAATGACTCATGCGATTACTGGCTTTTCCCCAGAGGAAATTGAACAGCTCAAGCATGAAAAACTCACTGTAGTATTTTACATACGCGATTTACGTGTTTGTATGTCTTTTACAAACTTTCTAAAGACAAATATCAAGATTTTCAGTTTCGAAATTGATATCTGGAATGAAAGAAAGCCAGTGCATGATTTTGAATTTCCACATATATAATACATGTTGACATGGAAGAAATGATTGCTATATACATACATACAAAGCCCAAACGATCGTATATAACCAAGTCCATATTATTTATTTCAATCTGATAAAGATCGCTACCTGATAAGTTGAGCTTGGACATTGAGTAAACCAAGGTTCGCAGAATTAATAGACTTGTATGGTTGCATTATTTATTAGATGGCGCAATCTCTATCCTTCTATTTCGTAGTAGCAAAAAAAAATTTTGATTTTTCGTACAAATTACATTTATGATTTTCAAAGATTTTTTTGTTACCTTTCAAAGAAAACAGGTTGATGTAAAATGTTACTGTTGATCCTTATTGTTGCAAAAAAACATAAAAGTCTCACGAAGATCCTTCAACGCCATCTCCTCCAGGCTCTTGCATGGCGTGGAGGTGGGTTGCGCAGAGCCCATGAACCAGCAGTAGGATGCGTTCCGTCTATGGTTATCCTATTGCGAATTTGATATTTATATCAAAAATTGGAATAATTGGATTTCACTTAATAAAAATTGTGGGTTTGAAAAGAATTATGAATTTCACTTGATTGGCTAAAAAATCTATCATGATGAGATCACCAGATCATGAGCAAAAATTTTATTTATATTACGTACATGTTCATACGTAATGTAACATCATCATCAAACATAATAAAATAGCTGACTGAATTTGGTAAATATAACGAGAATATTTTAGTTTTAATAATATTATGCAACTTGCTTGGTCCAGTACGAAGGTACAAGCTGGGTCTCTTGCTTCCAAGCTCTGAAATGAGCAAGAAGAAAATGCTGCTGTTACCATTAAGATCATTCTGCTTGTCTTTTGACTTCACAAATAATGGTTTGAGGTCAAAGAAGGTGGAGGTAGGTGGAGGTGATAGATTCTACGATATTAAATAACTGATAAAGCAACTTGAATGTTAATCTCAAGAAATAATTGAAAAAATTGATGTTGAATTTATCAAGTCTAACATCTATTTCAATCAATGTTATGATTAGTTAGAGAATTTTCTAATCATGACTAAGCATGGCGTCACCTCAACATCATTTGAATTGATGCATTATAAGTCAATCATAAGCATAACGATAATGATAAATACTAAAAAAAATAACAAAATGAGTGACAATATGCTAAAATCTCAAAAAATTATTCTCAATGTTGGCGGCATAAAGGTTTTCACATATCATTTATAACTAAGAAGATTCAAAATTCAAAAATTTTGAGCGTAAAATTTAAGTCTAATTAACCTCTTTTAAATTTTATCTACGTAGTATGAAACGTTTCGTTCCACTTTAACCGCTTATCCAGACACACTACTTGGCACGATGTTTGCGGATCGAAATGATCAATTATTAAAACCGATTAATGCAAACGAATATTTTTTCGATCGTAATGGCCGAGCATTTCACTATATTATGGAATACTACCGTACAGGAAGCCTAAGTTTGTCTAGTGCTTGGCAATCAAATTTTTGGGTGACTAGAGAGGAACTAGATTTGGAACTGGATTACTTTCAAATTTCATCTAATCATGAAACTGATAAAGATATTAATGGCAGAATCAGTGAAGAGCTCGACCATTTAGTTACTGAAATGGAATCGATCATTCTTGAAAGTTTGGCGAAATTGCCAGAAATCATGACGTTTCGTTTCACCTCGGGAAACACGTTGTTTGCAACTGATTCTGAAAAAAAATATGTCAGACTTTCTTTAGAAAGCCAAGCTGCATATAAATTAGCAATTATGTTCCAATCCGAAATTACGCAACACTTAAAAAACACGTATAAAGGCGCGATAGTTTTTTCTGATGCAACAGAAAGTATGACATTTGATGCTTATGTCGCATTTACTATGGAACCAAGATACGAAAGAGAAGAAATATTGAGAAAGTCTCATTTAAAGGTAATTCAAAGAGTGTTATTTTTTTATGTTCTGTTTTTTTTTTCTAATTACAAATATTGATCTATGATTGATACTAAGATTGATTAGCAATAACTCTAAATCGGAAGCCAAATAGTTCTCAAACCTTCAAATTTGACCTAGTGCAACTGGTATTTTAATTGTAGAAAAAAGCCTTTGGCGGCGTGTACACATGAAATTATTACCAACCTGTAAACTTTATTAATTGAAAATAGTTGTTAACCTTTTCTATTATGGCTACTTGCTTGATGGCGTATATAGCATTTATACAAATCACAGTATACATGTACATAGTATGCATGATGATTTTGCGGATGTGACATTCTGGTGATGCGAGTCGAGCAAAAATCCTAAAATTATCAGCCGCTGATGAGGGTGTAGAGATTTCGTACTATATGGTTGATTGAACGGTTTAGGATTAGAACTACCGCTAAGTATTAACATATTGTCACGGGTAGATCGTGATTAGGCGTAATCGATGATTTTACCTGCAACAATGGGTTGGGGGAGTGATTAGACTGAGGTGGTGTTTGTTCGTTTCTAGTTCCTGTACCGATATCTACGGATATCGTTCAGTATGACGGAGTTTGGGTGGGTCGGTTTTTAGGTGAGATGGTTTTGGTTTTTATGTTTATGTGACGGTTTATTGACAATATTCTTCTTATTAACTTCCAATCGTTGCTTTTTCTAGCTAAAAGCCTTAAACTGTTCAATCA